TGCTAGTCTCAAAAACTTGCTGATGTCCCCCAGGATCACTGCCCCACCCATCTTGTGCGTACAAATGCATGGCTTTGCCCCTGTCATGTTTCCCAGCTTTTCTCCTTGCCCACTATTCATTGTCCAATCCTCAAGTTCTCGATTTCCTTTTATTTGTGTTGTACCTTTCTATATGTAATTCCTCTTTTGAGTTCTTATACTAGGGAGACAATATGATATTTACACATGTGAGTTGTGCTTTTTGAGTGCCAATACATTGGCTTTTTGGTTTGTTTTGAGACAGGGTCTCACTACATAGTCCAGGCTATCCTTGATATGTTGCCCAGACTGGCCTCAAACTTAAAGAGATCCTCCTGCCTCACCTTCCCGAGTGCTGTGACTACAGGTGCACTGCCACACCTGCCAACAAGCCTTTATTCAATTATCTCAAGAAAGATTTTCATCAGTGCATAGTCAGTCTGTAAGTATTTTACCTCTGTTCTACCTATAAAACTCAGCTCAGAAACGAAAATTTCAAATTACCTGCTTTCTCGTTACATTGGCTGTACTGTTTTCACCTGTTGCTCCTGGAAAACATTAAAAATAGATTCATTTTAGAGTCTGCCTTTTTGTGCACAGACTAACAGGGAAAACCTGATTCCGACTTCACACACGGAGAAGATAAGTACATCACTAATGATCTATTTTTGTCCTTTCCAAACCTTGTCATTTTATTCTGTGAGAATTATACAAAGCAAGTACTTTATAAGCAAGGTCCAGTTAACAGTTATTTGGTAGATTTAGGCTCTTCAGTTACAGCATCATTTTCTAAAATTACTGGGACTGTTATTGTATAATACCGTAATAAAAACATATGCATATGCTATGCACATGTATAATCTCTGATGTACAACAGCTTGCTAACTACTTACTGCTTTGAAAGAATATGATTTTACTGTTTTATGCCCAAAATGTCAAATCGTTGGTCATGTATTTATATTATTTTTAAAATCATTTATTTATTTATTTATTTATTTGGTACAGGGTCTCACCATGCAGCTCAGACTTGTAGTGATCCTCCTGTCTGTCTCAGCCTCCCCCATGCTGGGATAACAGGTGTGTACCACCATGCCTGGTTTCAGGGCAAGTTGGCAGGTGTACCAGGAATTGAACTTGGGTCCTTGTGTTTGCCAGACAGGCACTTAGACCACTGAGCTATCTCCCTAGCCCTTTATTTTTTGGGGACTCAAACTCAGCACCTTGTGCCTGCCAGGCAGGCACTATACCACTGAATTATATCCCTGACCCCTAGTCATTTGATATAAGTACAATTTGGTTTTAGTGCATAATGAAACAACAGGGCAGTATTTACTGCATCTCCCTACCATGCACAGTAGTCTAATCAGGCTCCCTCTCTTATTAGCTTATGAATAAGAAATGAAGTTTCCCAAAACAGCAGGATGATCTTGTGTGTGTGTGTGTGTGTGTGTGTGTGTGTGTGTGTGTGTTACTACGAGTTGAACTCAGGACCTTGTGCTTGCCAAGCAGGTGCTGTGCTGCTGAGCTATATTAGCAGCCCAGGATAATCTTTTAAAAGGGCCGGGGAGGGTATATAAATATAAAATATGGGCCATTGCAGGCAATGGAAGCCAGCAGGAAAGCCACAGGAAGCCATGATACAGCAACATGAAATGTGCCAGCCGGTCTGCGGCAGCAGCAGTCACAGTCCTAGCAATGTGTCCTAAACAGCAGAGGAGAATGGGTCTGGAAAATGGTTAAAGGGACAAAAAAAATTTTTTTCAGTGGTGGTAACTGACATTGAATCCAGCAGCACTCCACCACTGAGCTACGTCCCCAGCTCTTTAATTCTGTTTGTTTATTCATTTAGAGACAGGGTCTCCCTAAGTTGCCCAAAGACTCAAACTTGTGATTCTCTTGTCTTATTAGCCTTCTAAGTGCACACTATTTTTATGGAGAAAAAGAAAACAGTAAATTCTGAAGTATTTCTTACAACATTGGAGGCAGATTTCTTTCTTGTTTCTTTTTTTTAAGCAGATTTGTAAAGCTGATGCATTTGAATTTTTTTTTTT